AAAGAGAGACATCTATTGGATTTCGTTTTATCAGCATTGCTCAAAATTGGAGGCCATATAGCCCAGCGTTAAGATCAATTACCAGTTACATTTCCTTGGGTAAGTTACTCAATTCCTTTAAACATCAGCTTCCATAAGTATAACATGGATTCTGTACTCTTTCCCTGCTTCATAGGTTTTTGTGAAGATGGATAAAACGTGAGACTACATGTAAAGTGCATAGCACAACGGCTGGCACAGAAACAATAAACACCATAGATAGCATTATTATAATATTACTCATCCTTCATTCTTGACCACCAAACCTTTATTTATTTAGCCTGACAAAGCTTAACATTCCTTAGATTTGTGAGTGTTACATGAAAGAAGTTTAGAAAATATTATCTTACAAACCTTCAAACCTAAAGATCTGCATAGGAGATCACTCAGCTAATTGTCATAGTTCTCTTCTCCAACCAATAGCTAAACCTACAGGCAGCCTAAGAGTCGGTCTGGATTTTTATCACAGAAGGTAACAAAATGCAGAGGTGCCTCCTTTTGTTCTAACTTTCCAGAGAAATTAAAAGAGCTCTTTTGGGAAATATTAGGAAGTATCCATAGTCTACAGAATGCCCCTCGACCAGACACCCAAGGCTCTTTATTATCTGGTCCCACCCTATCTATCTAACATTAATTTCCTCTAAACTCCAACCCAAATGTTTCATTTCCATCACAAAAGTCTCCTTACTATTCAACCATTATATCTTTCTCCTCAAATCCATATTGTTTCACATGCCTAAAATAACTTTTTCTTTCTTCTCCTTTAATTAGGAAATTCCTATATAATCTTCAAGGCCCGGTTCAAATCTTCACCCATTTTATAAGACCAAATGTCACTCCTGCCTACATTTGTTTCACACGCCTCTGAACTTTTATAGTACATTGTTTATATTGTACTTTAGGTATATAATATGGTTTGACATTTTTATAAGTTATTTTAATCATTTATGATCTCTCCCAAACTAGTTTTAGAGAGCAAGGGCTATAATTTAATATATCCCGCAATTCAGGAAGAAGGAATTTAATAAATTCATGACAGAATGGATGAATAGTGAACACATTATGTGCTATTTTTGCCAATTTTTCATGACAGAAGTAAAATTCTTTGACGGAGTTAAGATTTCTTATATCTTCATTTGATTTTTTTAAATATAAGAGAATGCTCTAAATGCCTATAGTTGCTTTGCTCTTAATGTGGCTTTTCTTAAAAATACATTTGAGCCAAAAGGGAAAAAAAACTGCTGAAAATCTGTAACAGACAAAAGAAGTTAACAAATGCTAACTATATTACTGATTTGCGGTTCCTACCTTGTTTTAGGGTTTATTGTATTGACTCATTATGTACAGACAACTATATTTAGAGAAGGATTTGAGGGACTTAAAAGAAGAAGTTTCAATAATCCTAGGAGGGGAAAAAAGTATCATGCTCAAAATACAAAAAGGTGGAAATGGGTAAATGTGTATTAAATAATCTGGGCTAAAGACGTGCTCCAGAAATGAGTTCAGAACTTCTACAAACAGGGTTTAAATTATTTGAAGATCACTGAATGTCTCTGTTATTTGTGTGTCCTAAAGATAAAAAATAGTATGTTCCATGCTATAATTAATGTTTAACTTTGGTTTATTGGCTCTTGTTGTATATCAGTTTCCTAGTATACTGACTTGTAAAATAAGCACAGTGATATTAGGTACTTAATAATAATAATAATAATAATAATAATAACCTTAATAATCCTAATAAGGTTATAGAACAGAGACTACAATATTTTGATTATTCAATACCTGTTAATTATTATTACTATTATCATTTGAATATAAAAGTATTGGAATCCCTCTATTAGCAAATAAATATTTTTAAAATAAAACAATAACAACAAAAGACATTTGTGAGGGAACAACATCTAATATCTGAAGTTGGATGTAAGGCTGTCATGCTAGATTTCATCATTCCACTATATGAAAGACCTGCAAGATCAGTTTGCACTATTTTCCTAAGAAACTATATTTGTTTGAGCACTCATTCACTCAATAAGGATAGGTTTCATTTGGGCAGAATATTCTGGTTCATGCAATTTATTCAGTTACCAACGGTACCTAGATTACATAATTCAGAATATAATATTCTGTTAGAGGTCCATAACATATGGTTTGAAATTAGAACTTTTAAAGCAACTTTTATTTGTTTAGAACTAACTTTGATTTCCTATTTTAAGTCCAAGTTACATACAAATTATACATTTTTAGGAGGCAAGACCTTAAAATTATCAATCATAACAATAGACATGCAGTAATAAACATTAAGAAAATCTATAATTTCATATTCAACATGAATTCATTTCTATGCAGAAGTTATATTTTCTAGCTCTCTCATTTTTTAAAATCCTAATTTTATTCTTTGTACAATTTAACTAAAGGAAATTCTAAAAAGATGTTTTAAAGAAATTGTTTTTAAAATTAACTTCAGGACTAAATAAAGCCCAAAGCAGAGATTAATGTTATCAGTTAAAGGAAAGACCACCATTTAAAAGAAATCTTACTGTGATTCTATGTATTATAATCTACAACATATATAAATATCATATGAAATGTTTTTATATATTCTAGAGCAGTTTATTTTGGACATATTATTTGATAATGGATAACCAGCATTTTCAGAAATAAAATTGTGGTCATTTAAATTTATATGCTTTACTTATTATTTGGAGAATAACCCAACAAAAAATCTTACATTGTTAAAATAGAAAACTTAGAACATAAAAAACTCTGTTGATCAATAATATGCTGGAAATATTTTTGATCTTTTTTCCAGATTTTTCAAGTAAAATTTTCAATTTTTACATTTAAAATGAAAGGGTTTAAGGGTTAAATATATTGTCCTACTGGATTTAGTGTACCTGTCTGATAATTTTTTAAAATGATACTCTAATTGCATACATTATTGATTACATGAAAATATTAAAATCAACAATAATTTTAGTTCCATCAATATCTACAAGGCTTACAAATGAATGCAAATACACAAAAGTCAATCAAGCACTATTTTCTTTAACACTTATCTTGAATCTAAATAACATTATCTGAACAAGGCAAGTAAAAATAAACCAAACGTTTTCAAATTCTGGTTTTCATCAATCTGTAATGGTACTAGATATGTGGTAGTCTTCAAATTGCATATTGCATAGAGAAACTCAAAATTTTAACAATGATTCGTATTCCATTATTTGATGGTACTACCTATTGTTATAAAAATAATAAATAATTCATATCATTGTCCTAAACATACCACCAATGATATCATCCTACTCAAACTACGTTGTATATTTTACTTTTTAAAAAATCAAGATGTTCACTCATCTCTAAATTTTTGAAGGTTTCTCACAGAAGTTATAAAAGAAAAGAGAGAGGTAATAGGCTGGAGGAAGGCAGAAAGTCAAAAAATCCTACACTTTAGGGCCAATTCTGTAAGTTCTTAGGCCTGGGTGATCTTAACCCAGAAGTCTTTAACTAAACTCATAGGTTTAGAATCTGACCACCTCTAGAGTCCTGGGGTCAGTTTTAAAAATATTTCTTGTATTCACTTAGCATAGATAAACTAAACATTTCAAAACTATAAATGGCTGTGAAGAATAAAAAAACCTATTGATGTTTAGAGCTGTAAATTATTTACATTCTGCCATGCATAAATTAAAATATACTTCCTTGAAAAGTTGTGAAGGGTATACAAATTGAACCATTTGACAGTGACAAAGAGTATAAAATGGAATGATTTTATATGGAATAACAGCTATCTGATGTAAACATGGAAAAAAAATTTTTAATGGCAATTAATAGAAAATTGAATGTTAGCCTGTAATTTGAAAATATATTACCTAATTATTAATTCCTATGTTTGCGTATGATTAGCAGGCTTATTTTTATCTATATATTGGTAAAATTATAATATATTCATAACACTGTTTAGTATAAAATTTTTTCTCAATTCAGAAACATGAAATTAATAAGATTTTGAGCTACATTTCAAATTTATTACAATGAATATAAAATTCTGTAAATTAAATATTCTGTGAATTAATGAAGAATAATACATTTCTTTTGAAGCATAGTCTACTGATAATATGATCACAAATGAAGTACTTAATTATAAAAGGGCAAATGCAGAAACAATAATCATAATCATAAGGTATTAAAAATTTTTGAGAATTTAAGAGTTTATGGGGAAGAATTCACCTAATTCAACATTAAAGAATGTCATTTTTCTCCTACATCATGTCAACCATTATTCAACCTTAAAAACTCACACTTTTATCAAGTAAAATTTTTGTTACAGAAAAATCTCACACATTAAAAATGAACATTGGCCCTTCATGACATATATATAAATACTACATGTTATACAGAACATAAGAGCTGTTTTGTAACAAAGGACTATTTGCTAGGTACAAAAATCTACTTATACATATTTGTTTATAAAAAAATGTTGAGTATAACAGATTAACAAAACAGGAGTTTATATGCATAATAACTATACTAAAGACTACAAATATCATTAAAATATGGTATTTGAAATTTTGAGGATATAGTTTCATTTCAGTTTGTATACTTTATTTAAAAATTGAATGTAATTTTAAATAGATTAAATTCCTATAAATCAATCATATTTGTGCCTATACATTTTTTAAAAGGCAATCACAAAAGAAATGAGCCACATAATTGCTCCTCAGTGTAACATGTTTTAGTGTTAATCATTTTTTAATGAGATATTCAATTAATCAATAAATCAACTGATCAATCTAAGGAAGAGACTCTGATAGTCTTTAAGTAAATAAAATGACAACTTTGTTATGTATTAAGCATGCTTAGGAAAAGAAAAACTTTATATGCTAAGATGTTAAAGCTTCTTTTATAAGGAATTCATACTATGCTGTGGATATTTCTCTTTGATTTCCCAACTAAACACTCACTTGTTTGATGCGATCTGGATTAACGGTGGTCTGGGGTTGTAGAATGCTGACTGGTTCTGTCTTGGCCACATTTTGGGGCATTTCTCGAATTTTTTCTGCAATGAATCCATGAACTGCATTCAGTGCTTCAACTGTTCCCTGGATCAAGCATACTCGTTCAGTAGTACCTGTGGATAAAAGATTAATTTTCAGAAAACTTTCCTTCTTATTTTATTATTTTTTTCAAAAAAGCTATGAAATAGGATGATACAGTAAGGCCAATAAAATAATGTAAGATGTAGAACTCTTAATTAATTAGAAATGTTCATTTGAACCAAACAGAGTGAATGCATACATAAATGTTCCTTTCTACCATTTTTTAACCCATTCTTTTCTAATTGTCTCAAAAAGGGCCTTGGGTTTTCCAGTAGAGCCAGAGATCTTAAGAAGTTCTGAGCATATCATAAAAAATACTTGCTGAGCACTTATAAAAGGGCTTAGGGTTAAAAACTGGTAATACATAGATGAAGATCGATGGATCCAGCTTTTGGAGAGGATATCTTATGGGTGAAAAACTAAACTAACATCAGGCCAGACAATTATACAATTGTATGAAATGAAAAATAATGGACGTACCTATATGGATGGCACAAATGGATGATCTAGAGTGAAGAGAGCATTTAAATTGGTGGGTAGAGGAGGTCTTGGAAAGTTTACATAGTAGGTAAATTTCTTCATTTCTACCACCCTCTATTCACTTTCCCAGTTCTTCTTTTAATCATAGCAACAACACTACCCGATATTTTATATTCGTTAATTTTTAACTTTGTCACTAGAATGCAAGCTCTCAAAGGATAGTAAATTAGCTTGTTTTGTTTTGTGCTGTAGTTTCCCCAAAGGCTTTAACAGTCCCTGGTACATAACAGGTGCACAATAAATATTTATTAGATAAATGAGTCAACACTGTCTTTATTATGTAATTTTAATAATAAGACAGAATATCAGAGTTAAGAACAAAATTTTAAAAAGCTTATGAGGTGCCTGGGTAATTCAGTTAAGCATCTGACTCAATTTTGGCTCAGGTCATGACCTCAGGGTCGTTAAATCAAGTCCCGTGTCAGGCTCCATGCTCAGCGTGGAGTTTGCGTGTCCCTCTCCCTCTCTCTCTCAAATAAATAAATAAATAAATAAAATCTTAAAAAATAGTTTATGAAATTTGAAATTTATGGATAATTGATAAAGATTAATTAATAGTGTTCATTTCACATCTAGTAAATAAAATGTAGATATATGTGAGACATGACTAAAATGAAATTGGTTGGGTCTAATACACAGGTCCTATAACTCATTTTATACACTCTAGATAAACTTTAAGGCAAAAAAAAAAAAAAGATTAGTTTTCAGACTATTCTGAGCCTCATTACAGCAGCTTGATATTAAATTCAACATCCCAACATAACACATAATCTTACTTCTCAGAAGTATTTCTTTACTAAACAGTTATCAAAAAAACCCAAAATGATTATTTTTAAATTTATAAAATATTTGTTTTTTAATTAATATGAAAACTCCCAAATATTTAACAGATTTCTTTTTGGTATTACAGTTTAAAAATTCTAAGCTACTCTATAAAACATTTTTAAAGTACATTTGGAAGGAAAAATTTGCGAAGCTACAAACATTAAAAAGATCATAAGGAGTTTATATTGCTTTAAGGATTAATTGCCTCAATAAACTATTTTTCTAGTAGTTTAGAATTTTTAAAAGAACAGTAAAAGATTATCATTCTTACTTCTACAAAAAAGACTTAGATCACAAGAATTTAAAGAGTAATATTATATGGATACACCTAAATTCAATCTTCATATTTTAAACAATAAAGATTCAAGTCAATGAAAAACTAAGTTTCTTAAGTTGTACAAAATATTTCAGTAGAGAGCAAGTATGTCTTTCATCTGTAAAGATGAAGAGAATCTGAAAAATATAATGCGAGTTTGAAGGTTTAATATTTCCTGTTTCTCCTAATCAGCTTTTCTTCATCCTTGTCTACCTTGATGTATCTCTGTGGTTCTTGGGTAAAACGATCTAGTTTATAGGGATATTCTGGGGAAGTCTTTACAAGGTTGTATTAATTATCCAATAAATGACAAGAAAGTATAATAATAATTGATCAATGTAGCTCATGCAATATGTTCTCATCTAAGTCAGGAAACAAAATAAAACAGATCAGATTACATTCCTGCTTTTGGAGACAAACACAGAGTGCTCTTTTGGGGATGCCAAAACAGGAAATCAGCTCAACCTCAATAGGGATTGTGAAACAACAACAACAACATGGCACTAAGTAACTGAAGAGATTATATAATCCATGTTGCTTTTAAAATTCTAATTTAATTCAGTACATATCATGTCAGACAAAGTAACCCCAACAGAGTGACAACACTCTTTAGAGTATATAGACCAACAGGTAGTAAATGGAAATCACTGAGCCATAAAGAAATACAATTGTCTAAAACTGAATTTCATAGAGCATATAGGAGATAATTTGGAGATAGTTTATAGGTTCAAGCTTGCAGTATGTATTCTTTGAGAATTAAATTATATCACTATCATTAGAACTACTCCCACAAAAAAAAAAAAAAGGGAAAAAAGGAGATTGTACATCCACCAATGGGAATTGCTGCAATCCTCAGAAGAGATGCTGTCAAATTCTTCTACTGAACTCTAATGGCCTTTTTCCTCAGATAACACAAAACTATAATTTTTAGGAGAAAGTCACAAAGAGAGAAAACTGTCAGGTATATGACCAAACTGTGTAACAAAAATGCACCTATAAATCATAAAAGTTGCTGTTTTTGTCATTTTAAAGCCTTTTAGTCTCCATTAGTGTCTAAACTAAACTGCCAGTTATTTATCATTTTATTTGTTTAGCAGTAGCATTTACTTCTCTTTGAAACAGACTAGCAACAGAAGCTGAAAAACAATTACATAAAAGTATATGCCCACATTTTTTATAATGTAAAGATACAGATGTATAAGACACATTAATTTAAAAATGCACTTTTGAGGAAGAAATTAGAAAAACTCTAACAAGTAGGGTCAATGTCAAATATAGAAAGTGAAACTTAAAATGGCTTCAGTTTTGATTTCACATACAATATCAAATATTGAAAATGCATGCTTCTAAAATTAGGTACAATTATCAAACAGATTCTATAGCAAAATTCTGATAGAAATTTAATAAAATATATTCACTCTGTGCTACTCTAACCTTGAATAAGTAAGTCACTTAGACTGTTCCTGCTCCTACCTGAGGTATTCTAATCACTTATGCAGTGGATTCTATTCCTTCTTATCTACCAAGTTTGCCATTTCTCCATGTATTGGAGTTCTTTCTTACATCATAATTTTTCCTTTTCTATTAGATCATCTCCATCAGCAGAAATATGTTATAATTTATTCAATTTTTAAAGACCCCCCCTTTATGGCAGAACTAAAAACTTACCCTTTGGCAAAGTAAATGAAATAACTGATTTAGGCAAAGATCATCAAATCATAAGATGAAAAGTTAATGAATAATTTTCAATGGAAACATGAGGCAGTCACCAATTGACTTCCCTGATCACCATTAGCATAAGTAAGAATACGAAAGTGAACCATGTGCCTCTTGATGTGATGAAATATGACACACAGGGCACTGATTATGAAGTATGTTTCCCAAAGTAGATGAAGCTAAATCTAATCAAACATTTACACTACATTATAGTTTGAAATAATATTGAAAACAGAAAAATAAATGAAACGACACCATGAGGAAGCCAAGATACAAATCAAGAATGTAAGACCGTCTACAGGTCAATTGATCTAGCTTCATCAATAAAAGAAGGACCATTCTCTATCAAATGTAAATTAGAATCTGACTGGATCTAGAATCAAAAAACTTTTACTTTAAATAATTATAGCAGTATGATAAGAACTAGGTATTAGTATCAAGGAATTACTGTTAATTTTAACAGGTTCGTGATTATGGCATCAGGTTGCATAAAAAACTATTTTTTCCTTTTTTTTAGCTGCATACTGAAATATATACAGCTAAAATGACTGCAATTCACTTCAAAATATTTCTGCAGCAACAACAAAAATGAGTAAATAAAATAAGTCAACAAAAATCTTGATATTGCTGATATATGTGAAGGGCATAAGGGGGTTCACTGTACTATTCTTTTATTGTATGTTTGGAATTTTTAAAATATAAGAAAAACATCTCAAAAGCTTCCTTGGCCTCATACCCCTCTCTCCAGTTACTGCTCAATTTCCTTATCCCTCAAAATTCCTTGAATGAGTTTTATGTATCTATCTATAGATATATTCTCTTTCTACTTCTTCACCACTTCCTTTTTTCTTGAATCTACTCTAATATGGCTTTCATTCCTCACCCCATGCAAACCATTCATAACAGCTGTACCTGGGTAAATCCAATCTTCATGTCTTTATGTTGTTTGACCCATCAGCAGCATTTGACACAGTTGACCATTTGGTTCTAAAAACATTTCACTTAGCTTTCAGGATATCACACACTCCTGGTCCTCATTTCATTCAATTCATTCATTCATTTGACAAAAACCTATTAAGTCCCTACTTAAGGTTAGGTACTGTACTAGAAGCTGAGTGACCACACAAATCTTCCTTTTTTCATGGGAGTTCATATTCTAGTTCATGTAGATACTATACATAAAACAAAATATATAGAGAGAATACAAAATGAATTCATGCTATGGAGAAAATTTGAGAACAATAATAGCATGAGCAAAGATAAAAATTGAAGTAAAATACGAAAGGGACCTTGTGTGTATGTTCACTACTGTATCCTCAAGTATCTAGAATAGTGCCCGGTATACTGCAGATGTTTAAGAAGTATTTTTTGAATAAATGAAAAAGTGACTCTAAATGTTCTTATCTGTAGATTGATTTTAAGAACTATTTATTCATAAAATGTCTATCAAGCCAGTTACCTTCTTTGGGTTTATAAGATCAGTCAATGTGTATAAAACAGATATATCTGGGGAAATAATTTCAAAAAATATAGTAAGTTATAAATTATCATATCCATTAGAATGAATCTAGTCTAGAATAATGGGCATATACTAGTGATCTGATCCACATATTTCCAATTGTCAACTATAATGAA